ATTGTAAATATAAATCAATGCATCTTGAAATGGGATAAAATTATAAACTTTACATGTTTAGTGTTAAAGATAAAATGTTTTTGATATACAGGAATGTTAAAGGTCTATTGACTTTTTACTGGTGCTGAAATAGCATTGAGTTCAGTTTCTCCTCCCTCCCCTTTTACCTGTCAACAATAATGCACTAAAGGTGGAAAGGAGGTTATATGTGCGTTCACTAATTGTAATGAACATTTTTTTTTTGAAAAATATAAATTTGTTGTATAACTAATGCATGTTTCTTTTTAGCATTGTGTTATTGCATCTGGTGTTAATAAAATGAACAAATGATTCTGACAGAAGCAATTAAGAAAGTGAAATCTTTTGCTAAGTTTGAGAGTACTGGGAGGGTTCATATATTTTGTAGGATTTAAAAGAGAAATAATTAATTATAATTATTGCATTTAGATGTGCAATATTCATGTGATCTTTAATAAATTAATTTCCCCTGTAGTTTAGTTTTCAAATGAACATCTCAGACTACAGTTGGCAATGTAGCATGTGTTCACTTTTAAATAGTACTGTTTTATTAAGTTTTGTTGTGCAAGTCCTTATGATGCTGATAGGAGACCGAGGTCCTAAAAACATTGCTACTGAAAATGGCTAATTTTATTAGTAATTGAAAAATGCATTTTACACTCATGTTAATATCTTGTAAATATTTGAATTGTGTTCAGAGAGTTTGTCAACAAGAAGCTAAATACTTTGGCCATCAGTAAATCAGTGAGTTTAGGGGACTTTGGGCCATACCCAGTTTGGTTACTTAGCACCTTCACTTAGCAGATGGAACATCTGTATGGCTGCTTAGACACCTTGTCCAATAAGGATGATCTAGTTTGGGCAGATTTGCCCATGAACTGTGTAAAATCAGTCAGGAGTCTGTGGGTAAGGACACACATAACAAATGTCATTGACCGGGAACCAGTTCACAACTATCATGTTCAGAGGTGTGTACAGGAATAGTGCGCTAGCATTCCAGGTAGAATGGTCACCTTTTCGGCATTAGAGTGCTATGGTTCTGATACCAGAGGTGGGAGTGAACACCCAGGCCAACATGCTTCTTTGGGGTGGGGACATGAGTACTTGTACCCACGCTCCGGAGGTCTCATGGGAAGGTGAGCTGTAACTGGGGGCGCTTTCATTTTTCTGTTTTCTAGTCTCCTAAACACGTTTTCAGTTGGTTCAGTAGTCTGCATTTGACCAAACTACAGTGTGCATGCTACATTCTATTAGCCTGGTTGCTTAGGAAGTGAGAGATGTGTTTTAATCTCTTGGAAGTGAGAGATGTGTGTTTTAATTTCCTGAAGCTGTGGATGACGTATAACAGTCTCGCTTATTTGGTGAGTGCTCTTATCACTAAGCTGTTGTGCCTAAGGGCAGAAACCACCACTGTCCTTTATGAGCTGAATGTAGTGCTATTGGTAAATAATGGATTATGTTGGACTTTAGTATGGGGAAGGCAACAATCTGGATTGCACAGATGCTTAGCTAGGAGCTAGGTACTTACATGATGAAACTGGATAGCTTCTAAAGATAGTCTAAGTCTAGGTTCTTATAGAAATTTGCAATTCAAAATGGAGGTGCAGCCTTAAATTTGGCATCTACTGGATTTTTAGCTTGCTGAGTAGGGCCAATTAGATTGCTCTTCAAAATAAAGCTGCCCAAATTCTGCCCAAGTCCCATTTAAGTGCCTGCAAAACTGAATCTGGTCTCTGGTCTAAAAAATAGTTTTGTCTGGTTCACATTGATTGATTTAAAATGTCTTTTAACACATTGAAAGAAACTGCTTAAATGTGTTGGAAAATCTCTTTAGGTATGAACCTTCTGTGGGAAACTAAAAGCCACACTTTCTTTTAGATCTCTTAAATTTAGGGAGAGTTGATGCTGGTTTGTAATTGGATGAGAGCAAACCCAAGATACTAACAGCAACTATAAATTGTTGGTAATTTTATTATAAATGGAACTGTTCCTTTTGAGGTGGCACTGAACCAAGGTCCTAGAATTCTTCTTCATTTGCAGCCTTACAAAGAAATATAAAACTGAGATCTATAACTTTGTCTGATAAAATCTCCAGTTCTTTTTTTTAACTCTTGTGGCAATATTCTCTCCTGTCATTGCACAAACTACCATTGATATGATTAGGAAATCTGCACAAACAGTGAGACTGGTATCTACATGTTTGGGTGAGTTTCTGATTTTGTATCTGAATCCTTTTTTAGAATTAAACTTGGTAATTGATCTGGTATAATAGATTTGGAGAATACACACCCAGTTGCTGAAACCAAAAAGGACGGGGGGGGGGGAAAAACCCCCCCCCAGTTGCTAAAACAAAAAAGGGGGGGGGGGGGGGTGTCTCCACATTTTGTAGTCCCTGGTTTCTACTTGTGAAGGGAGATTTCTCAACATACTCTTATCCCGAAGCATTGTCTTCACACGCTTTTCTCCCTCCTCCCTTTTTGGTAATTGGAGAACAGGGTTTTCAATCAAATCATATCCATGTGCTGCTGCTGGTATCGAGGTCCTAAAGCTTCATAGCATTCTGCAGCAGAAATCACCAATATTTTCAGCAAAAATTATTGAAATTCCATGGCAAAATGTATTTATTCCGTAGCCATGATGTACCCTTCAGTCTGCCCATATACTGCCTTTCCGATGCAAAAAGAAACACACCTGTGGTTTGTAGTTAGAAATACCAAATAGAATTTGATGTATTTTCAGCAATTCTTTCCTCATTCTGTTGCCCAGATGGCCTGCCTAGGAACGCTGCATTCTCTTGTACCAGCAGCCTGGTTAAGAAATCCTGAAATGTGCCAGGCGGGAAGGGGGAGCTTAGAGCCAGCTTTAGAATTCATAAGCGTATGTTCTCTGACAGTGGCTCTAATGATGTTTGCAGGCAACCAGCTCGTATGACCAGCCCACCCATCTGGCTCACTAAGCTGTCTGGCTGGAGAATGGACTCAAGCTTTGGCTTTCCAACCACCTGGTGTTAAGGAACAAAACAGAGAAACTACTACGTACAGCGTAATCTCACTCCCTCAAAGGGAAAGCAATAGAACAGAGCTATCCAACTTCTAAGCAGCTGGGGGCTGCAACAGGGCAAGCCAAGAACCCTCCAGGCCATGTGCCACGCAGATTGTACTCCAACCCCTGCTGCAGCATGCCCATCACCATCTCCAGCAAGGCAGCTGTGTTAGGTGCCTGCAAGCTCACCCTCAGGTCCCCTTGCTCTGTTGGGTGGGGGCAGGCATGGAAGCCAGAGAGAGAGGGAACCCAGGGTGGAAGGGCCTGCAACTTAACTCCTTGTGGACCAGGTGGCCTGCAGGTCACCAGTTGGACAGCCCTGCTATAGAATAAGGGGTAGGGAAATGAAAATAATGCCAGACTGTAGCCACAACAAAATGGGAAATTGCAGAATGATGTGGCTTCTTGGAATCATGCCACATTCTGTAGCTTTGTATTTGTTGGGACCACTGAGTCCTGATTGAGATGAATGGGACAGTTCACAGCACTCAGTATTTTTTGTAGCTTCTCTGCTGAGCCCAAGAGACGGGGGCATCGGATGCATTCGGTTCATGTTGTAAGAGTTCTCTCCACAACCACAAAGGCTAAACGTATATAATTCAGGACAAGGAGCTGATTCAGTGTCCACAGAATACACCTAATCCTGCTTTTCTTGCATAAACTAATTTTAGGTAGGGATTAAAGTGTTTCACTATCCTACTTTATTTCATTCTTAGGGTGTGAAAAGTGAGTGCATTACCAGGAATGGTCAGTAAGTTCTGCAGTCACTTCTAGGTTCTTTTGCTTTTTCCTTTTGCCTGCAATAACAGCGCAGATTTTTTTTAGAAATAAATGGTGCTGAACTACTGCAACCCCAACATACTTTTTAAAAATTAATTTTGCCCCAGTTGGTCAGTTCAAGCTACTATACTAGTCTCCTGTTTGAGGGGGTAACACAGAGTTAGGGAAAACTTGACTTTTCTTCACGGCCATGTTCTTGTATGTGCATATTTCGGTTTGTCTCCCTAAATTCTCCCCAAACTACTTTCTCCTCAGGCACCAGCATTTTTCTTGTGTGTGCACCATGTTCTCCTCTCTACTGTCTTCACCCAGCGCCATATATTGCATTTCCAGTAGGGACCAGGGCTTTCCTTTAGTTTCAGCCTTAAACATCAAAGTAGCTGTGGCTGCACCAAAAAAAAACCTGAAGGGAAAATGCCACACATGGCACAAAGCAGACCGCCAGTTCCACGCAAGCATCGTCAAGCTGTAGGCCTTGCTCGAGGTCGACGAAATACCTCCGCGGAGCTTTGCTCTTCCTACTCAACGTGCCGGCTCAACCCGCAGTTTTTCTTTAGCACCAGCTATTTCACCGTAGTCCGGACCTTACAAATCTCTGAAATGAGATTTTTTGTCGGACGATCCAGTATTCGGGGCTAAGCCCAGCTGCGCTGGAGATACAGTCGGAGCTCTGTATTTTCCCCCCAGCGTTGGCTTCTTTCCTCCCCCCCAGTCTGCAAATATTCGCGCAGGAAAGGCGCGGCTACACCCGAGCGGAGCTGCGCGGGAGCGGAAGCTGCGCCTGCGCATTGCCTCCGCCCCGCCCCGGGCTCGAGTAGCCCCGCCATGGCTCTGCAGCTGCTTCGCCCCTCGGCGGGGGCTCTGCAGCGGCTTCGCCCCGCGGCGGGAGCTGCGCGTAAGCGGCGGGTGTGGGGGAGGGAGCGGGGGAGACCCCAGAGCGCACCTGGGGCTGGGGCTGGGGCTGGGGCTGGGGCTGCTCCTGCGGAGCCCCGAGCAGCGTGGAAGTTGCTTGCGCATGCGCACCCTGAGTGGCGCACGAGCGCGCTTAGGCCAGGGTGACGTGACATAACGCGCCGAGTCTGTGGTGCTGGGGCACTCGGCCTGGCTCGGCTCCGGTGGAGTGCGCGCGCGCGCGCTTCCGGCCCCGCCCTGTGGTGTGTGCCTGGTGCTTCGCGTTTTGCCGGCCTCGGCGCCCGACTTCGGGAAACCGCTTCGTCCCGTTATGTCCCGTCCCGTCCTTTCTTGTCCGGTCCGGTCGGGTCTGGTCCGTGACTTCGGGAAGATACGTCTTCAGACCCCGCAGGCATCCCGCGTCCCTTTCTCCCGGCAGCTCGCGCTGCCAGACTCTTCTCCCCCAAATCACCGTTTAAATGCTCGGAGAGAAAAGCTTTTCCTTCCACGTTGTTCCTGTTATAAGGGGACCCCACATGTCCGCACTCAGGGACGCTTGCAGCATCTGCTTTTTCTTTTTCCCGGCTTCAAGTGGGCTGGAAGGGACCTCATGAGACGGTGTACTTTGGCCCCGGGCCCAAGGCAGGATCCCCCCAGACAAGAGGCTGAGATTGCCCCGGGGTGGAGATGTGGCAGCTTCTCTAGGTTGCTTCCAGGGTTGACCACCCTCACAGTCTGCAAGGTCTTCCTAAACAGCCAATAGGTTCCTATAGGAGGCGAGACCCACAAATCGGCAGGCTGCGCAGAGGAATTTAAGGCTTTCTGGAGGAAGTAAAATGTGTGGATGCATATCAGCAAAATGTATAATGTAGACAAGTGATTCTCAGCTGGGGTTGTAAGAGCCTTTCAGTAGTGATACAGTGTGGGTGCCAGTGTTGCAACTGGTTGACACTGCCCCATGTGCCTCTTGCAGAGCCGGACTGGGGAGCAGGGACGGGGGCAATAGTGTGCAGTCCTTCCTGCATTAGATAATCTGATGAACTTGAAGCAGGCAGGAGTGCTTGTCTCTGTGTGGGAAGAGCATGCATGTTGGATTGGGAAGGGCTGCCGTAGACGGGGTGCTGCTGCCTGCTTCACGTTTGTTAGCCAACCCTAATGCAGGCAGGGGCACGAGCTCTTGCAACAGTCCCTACTGGTCTGGCTCTGCACGAGGTGCATGGGCAGTTCCATTGCAGTGCTGCCAAATAATTACAAACAAACAAACAGTTATGAGGGATGCCCAGGACCTTAAAAAGGTTGAAAACTATTGAAATGTAGAAAAATGAAAACATGGGATATTTATGTGGTTTATAACTTTGAGTTTGAGAACTTGGAATATAGTTAGAATAGAAGTGACCAACCTGTGGTATGGATACCACAGATGGCACCATGAGCAGCCTGTGTGGTGCACATGGTAGATTGGAGAGAGGACAGGCAGCACGGTGGAAGATTGAGCAAGAAGCACAAGGGAGGAAGCAGAAATCAGCAGCAGACTGGGCAGAAGATCAGAGTGGACTTTGGGGATAGTGCAGTGCACTTTAAAGCTTAAATATATCTTTGAAGTTCCTAGTGTTTCTTCCTAAAATGAATATTTCATTTTTTAGTAGGTGCAGATTTTCAAAGCTTTTATAAACATTGAGTGATGCAGATATTTGATATAAAAGTCCTCAGCCTGATGAAGGGTGTTTGTGCCTGAAAGCTTGCTAAGCATTTTTCCAACTATTTGACTTGGTCTGATAAGGTATCAGATTTACCCAAAGAACCTTGTCTGCCTATGCTTTAATTAAATGCTTCATTTAATAGGGTCAACTCTTCTATGCAGTTCTTCAAGGAGGACTAGTTCTAACACTGAAGGAAAGTCTGAGCCTACCAAGCAATTGCTTAAGAAAGCAAAATTACCAGTAGGTCGTCTTGATGAGCCAGAAGAGTCTAATGTAGAAAGGGAACCACTGGAAAGTAAGTCTTACTTTAACAATAAATGAGTATTATGTAAGTGTTATAGGTTGTGCCTGCAATTCCTAAATGACCAGAGAGTTTGGTCTGAATAGGAGCACTCTGAAACAGACGGTGACATATTTGTAGCTGGCATTGAAACTGGTCTTAGTCTGTTTTAGTGCAGTTGTAAATAGGGTTAGTAAAGCAAAAATAAGGGGCTGTAGCTGATTTTACTACACAGCTAGCTTTAGGGCATGCTGTATTTGCACAGTACCCCACTGAATTCAGTGAAGTTCAACATGGAGATGCTTACAGGGCTGAGGCCTTGAAGCATACCACTGCCAAAAGTCAGGGAAAAATATTTCATTTTTTGCCATACCCCATGCTCCCAAATAAGATATATCTTGTTTTGGGAAGGCAGAAGGAAAAAAGATATTTCTAGGAGGAGCAAGGACGGTCTACTCTTCAGCTTGCTTGCCCTCCCTTTATTGCTGAAGCAAAACTGCTGAATTGGCAGCAGTTTTTGGCTACTCAACCAAAAGGTACTTCCAATTTGGCACTGGCTGTGAAAGGGCTCAAACTAACTGCTGTTGAAGACTGCATTGTGCCCCTCTTTCCATATGGAAAAAAGTTGCATTTTAGATTTGAGTGCTAGCTTGGAACAGGCAGCAGCTCGTTCCAGCTTTGGCCTCAGGCTCAGAGCTAAAGGCAGAGCTGAGCCACTACCTGCCCCAGGGTCAGGTCGCTAGTGCAGCAGGGAAGGGGACATGTGGCCAGAAAAGTGTGGCAGAAACTGTGCTGTGGGGGGTAACGAGGGGCCATGCAGGAGACCTGTGGTGTGCAGCTAAGGGGAGGGGACAAGTGGTAGGGAGCAGGCAGCAGAGGGACATCATGGCGGGGAACAAGTGGCAGGGGGGACAGGTGTAGGCACGGGAAGATAAGGGGTGGGGGCAGGCTTTCCCTGCCATAGTAGTATGGGAATGAATTAAGATGATCTTCCAGTAATTAGATTAAATTACTAATTTTCCATATATAGAATCTAATTATTGGAGGTGGGAGGGGGCATTATCTTAACTTTGAAGCCTTTGATTTAGGTAAATATTGATGTTTGAAAATTCATGTAGATGAATTGTGTCTTAAGATGACACGATGTATTCAGTTGGAGTTCAGAGTAAATATTTAATGTTTTGCCTTATCTGTCTATATTTAGATTTTATTCCTCCACCCAGAGCCATAGAATCTGGTAGCTCTATGCATCCAATTATCATCCAGTAGAATTACTGTGGAAATGATCAATTCCAGTAAAAACTAGTCTATAAAACCCCCTATTTCCCTTGCACAGAATTTATAGGGTGAACCGATACCTTGGTTTACATCGTATCGGCACCGATAAAAGGAAAATGGACATTATCAGCAATCGGCCTTTTTGGCTGATATGGATGATAATGTCAATAAATGCTGCATGCATGTGTGCGGCCATGGCATGCATGCAGCCAGGAGTGCAGCTCAGTAGCTTGGAGAAAAGCATTTGGCTGGTAAATCTGTGGGAGAGAAAGGGTGGGGGGGCAGATCAAGGTGTCCATGGTGAGGGAGGGAGTGGGGCTGGGGCAGGAGCAGGCGCTGCACAGCCAGGGCGGGGTGGGGCCCTGGTCAGAGCCAAGCTCATTCGGGGAGTGTGATGGGGGTGTGGCTTCTGCCGCTGTGAGCACACCCAGGGGAGGCATGGGGGGGACATGCTCCCTAGATCTGTGTGTGGGGTGTGGGTGGGCTGCCTGCTGGAAGCCGGGGGCAGCGCCAGGTTCTTCCTGGTGGGGAGGGAGGCAGGGTGGGGCTGTGCTTGGGGTGGGCAGTGGTGGCACTGGAAGAGGAAGCTATTGTGGGGAGGGTTACGGATAATTTTGGGATGGCTGTAGCCCCCCCATCCCAGCGTTGCCACTGCCCGCCCCAAGCGTAGCCCTGGCCTGGCTCTCCCACCAGGAAAAGCCCAACACTGCCTCTGGCCATGAGCAGACAGCCCACTGTGGCCCAACGTATAGATCTGAGGAACATGTGGCCCCCATGCCTACCTCAGGGGTGCACGCAGCAGCAGAAGCCGCCTTCTGCCCCCAGGATGAGCTGTGGCCCTGGCCCAACTCCCTCCCTCACCATGGGGGCCTCGATTTGCCCCTCCATCACCTTCCCTTCCCCACGCCTCTTCCCTCCAGACTTACCAGCCTGATGCTACTCTTTAAGCTGCCAGGCTACATATTGGCAATTGGATCAATATCAGCCTATATGGCTCATTAATAATCGGCCATTGGTATCGACCAAAAAATCTTTATTGGTGCACCCCTACTTGTGTCAAATGTTCATGCTTGGGTGCTTAAAATTAGCATCCTAAACAAAAATAAAAATGAGTTGATTTTTTTTTTAGGGTGGTTATGTACAAGCAGCTGCTATTGAATAAAGTAATTTCTTAAAAATAAGTGGGAGTCATAGCAGTTCTAAATTTTCAAATATCTAGTTGCTACTTTGCTTAGTTGCATAAATAAAGTAGTAGGTTCTTGACTCTAGGAACCTGTGTGTGATGATTATGATTGAGATTTAACCCAAAACTCCCTGAATTCTATTTTTTTTTTTTATTGGTTTGACAAAATGTTAAGCCTAGATTCAACTTTTTTAAAGCAGTTGATCTTTATTTTGTTATGGAATTGGGATGCAAACATCTTACACTGTTAGTCTTTATCATATGTATTTGCCAACTTCATAGGCATTTAATGTACCTTTTCCTATCTTTTTAGAATTTCCTGATGGCATCAATCCTACTACAAAAGAGAGGGGTGGACCCAAGGGCCCTGAACCTACTCGTTATGGAGATTGGGAGAGAAAAGGACGATGTATAGATTTTTAATGTGCAGTGCATCTGTATTGCTAATATAGTATGTTTATTTGTTTCAAGGTATAATAGGTAGAAAAAAATCACCTAGATGTTCCTGATGTTCTTCTAATTTGTTCTTAAATGGCGCTGTTTGTTTCAGGCATATATTTGATGACTACCATGAAGGATATTTTCAGCAAATAAATGTTCAATTGTAAAGTCAATTTTTGGAGCAGTTATTTGCATTATGTACCTCTGATCTTTCATGGTACTTGTACTCTCTAATGTGAGATTGAAAATGAGGGCTGGTAGAATTTTAAGGTATATTTAAAATGCAAATCCTTATATCCGCTCATTACGTTTAACAGTTAAATTGTCCCTTACGTACTGAAAATTCTGTGCATTTCACAAACCTATTCTTGTATTATCAAAATACAACCGCTGCCAGGACAGCACTTAATTGACATATCATGTGGTAGTTCATGAGTGACTAAGAGAGAATTTAATCAAGGGCACCAAAGCAACTCTTCCATCTCTTTTTACAAAGTCCCAGGGCTTTTATTTGTTTTCTCAGTACAAACAGCAATTTGTTTTTTAATTTTATTTTAGTCTGACTTGCATCAAACTGCACGATATTTAGTTTATCTACTCAGAGAGAGGACTGAATTGACCCTTCTGGAATTTGTGTTTAAAGCAGTGGGAATGTTGAACATGAAGTTCAAATCCCCGTACTGTTTCTTTCTGGCTTCTGTAATTGCAGGCATGTACCAGATGTGTTGGATAAATGAAAGTGACTACTTGAAAACTGACTAAATGTGATCTGGGAAAAAACAGCACTCAAACACCTGCAGTGTTGTTATGTCATCTAGTTCCGGGGTGTTGAGTTTATTTGGCTCTGCAGGCCAAATGTGTAGAGCAGGGCCAGTTTGTTTGCTGGATCAGACTGGCTGTGTGTGCTGGATCTGGTGTGTGGGGCTCGCCCCCGTGGATGTTGCATGCAGCGTGTGTGCCAGATCAGCCCTTCACCAGGGCTGAATGCAGCATGCATGCCAGATGATAGGGCTCTGCAGGCCGGATCTTTGACATCTTGGATTTAACTTCTATATGACAGCCCACTACATTTCACTGAATTGAACCAAGTATTTGAATTGTATCTCTAAGGAAGGTAACCAGCTTTCAAGGGATCATCAACCAGCAACATGAAGGAATGGAGAATCTACCACTTCTTTAGTCATTCTTCTTTTGTATGACTATGAAAGGGGAGGCAGAAGCCCCCCCAACGTGGCCCAGACCCTCACCTGACACGCCCCAGTACTTACCCTAGGGGCTGTGGCAAGCGGCAGCAAGAAGGAGATGCCGATGCAGGCTCAACAGTTCCGCAGCTGCCTGAGCCTGTGTATCTGCGAACACGGGGCGTGGCTCCCGAGCAGTGCAGGCTGCTCAAAAGGCAGCTGGGCATCCAGCTGAACCGGCGCTGAGGAGTGAGGAGCAGAACGCCAGCTGGGAGATGCTGGCTGTGGAACTGGTAGGCTCCAACTCCAGCTGCCCCAAGAAGGAGCAGGGCACCTGCTGGAGGACCCAGACGGGTGAGGCAGAGGGCAGCCTTGGGGGGCCAACAGGTGCAAGGGAGCCCCACTGAGGGGCAGCAGCCTCAAGGGACACCACCGGGGAGCAGAGGGGCTCTGACCAGGAGCTCAGACACTGTGGCTAGGGACAGCTCCTCAAGCCCGCAGGCATCTCCAAACAGCCCTGCAGCGGGCAGAGCACGGGGGTTCACAAGCCCCCGGAAGGGGGAAGTAGATAATGCCAGCTGGAGGGACCAGGACAGCTGGACCACAGGTCAGCTGGGCCCCAGAGAGGCAATGCCAGAAGAGCTGGTAGAGGCTGGGCACAGGGCAGTTGCCTGTACCCATGCCTACTAAGATAAAGGGGACAGACAAGTCTCCCCAAGGGACCGAGGGCCCAGAGAAAGAGAATTTCAGGGGTCGCCAGCAGAAGCCAGTCATTTTCAGTTGAGTTACAGTTTGGCCCCAGATGGGGCAGATTTAATTTCTCAGGAGAGGGGAAGCCCACCTGAAGACGAGGGACGGACCCCTGAAGATTGACGGCCAGGAAGACCCGACCTTTTCAAGGTGGGCAGTGTAGGAAGACCTGCAGGGAGCAGCATCTACCCAAGCTGAGGACGTGGTAAGGGTGGGGTAAAGGGGAGGTTTGGAGCCCCATGAAGACACCTCAGAGCCGAGACCCCTTCAGGTCACTGAAAGGGAACTGCCTCCCCAACAACAACATCAAAGACGTGGCAGGTGAGAAGGGGCAGCGCCTGAACCATCTAGGTGGCACCAAAACCAGATCATCCTGACGTCACTGGTGGGCAAGGCACCAACAAAGGGGGGGCCAAAACCTTACAATACCTTCCAGTGACAATGACAAAAATGGTGTCCATATCTTTGTCTTTGTGTTCTTGAGTGTTTTTGTCGATTTGGAAGTTCTTAGCTGTCAGACACCATTATCAGGGATCACTATGTGGAAGTGGCTCTTGTCGATCCATCCTTAGTCATTTATTTCAATGGTTGATCATTCTAACTTAAAAATGTACCTACCAGGGTGGATAAAAATCAATGATTTATTAAAAAAAAATAAAAACGGATTTTTTATTTAACTCAGTTTCTTTTTATTTAATTGTATTTTTTATTTTTTTTGGTAAGGTGCTTTTTAAAAAAAAAACCTATATAAAGATAGTTTTAATTTAAGATGTGTTAAAGCTCAAATATGTTATCATGGAATAGGAATTATATCTTCTAATTATGTACAATTTGAGACTATATATTCATGTAACAATTTTAGAAAAGTTTTATAAATAGGTCACAGCAGGCCATGGACTATATTAGGGACCCGATCTATGGGGTTCCCAGCCCCTCTACCCATATGGGACTTAGTGCTCAGTCTAGGAAGATCCCATTAAGCATCTCCGTGATGCCTATTTTCAGCTCTCAAACTGTGGATTTGTGTCTCCAAAGATAACATTCTTGTTAACAGCAGTATATGGAGATGAGAGCGAACAGACCTGATTACCTACCCATCAGCCATATTGTGTCTCTGCAAGTTTGTATAAACAGAATCAAGCCCCTACCTCTCTCTAAAAGTGCAGAGTTTTAAGAAGTTAAATGAATAGAGGATATCAAACAAGAATGCACTTCTTGTAGAAAACAGTGACTAAAATAAGGCTTCCTAGCCAGTGATTTAAATTGTGATTTCAATTGATTTGATTTACCTACTTTCTAATTTGAATTGGTTTGGCTTCAGCTTCTAGGCTTTATTTCTTATTATGTTGGGGTTTTTTTGCTTAATCACTTAATTGATTAATACCTGCCATTTTCTTCCTGTTAAGAACACATTATAATTTTGTACTTCTGAATCTTCTTTTTGATCAACTAAATAAATTAGGGTTTTCCAGTTCTCACTATGTGGCATTTTCTTTTGTGTACACCCGAGGTTCATATCCAGTGTTCATAAGCATTAGCTATTTATGCCATGACATCCTAATGATTTTAAACCTGAAAATATTAAGCTATATAATTGTTTAAATAAGTATATTTAGTCACAGGCGACCAAGGATTTTGAAAAGTAGGATGCAGATAGTGTGATGCATCATCCTATATAACACAAAACATTTTTCCAGGTAAGAAAACTAGAAGGTTTACTAATATGCTAGGAGCCTAGAGTTTAAGATTGAAGCAAAAAGAAATCACACTTTATTCAGATGAGTTAAAATCAGTCTGCAAGGCTGTGAAATAGGGAGCTACATTACAGGAGCAACTAACAGACGGCAGAATTGCAGAAGAAAGGCTATCTTGATTATTGGACCATTACAAAGGAGAGTGGGTTAACACTTAACCTGATTTCTTCCCAACTCTTCATTTCACAGACTTTAACAAGCTATGAAGAGGGAGCCATTGACTCCCTCACTACTGCCTGAATAGAAATGCTTCTACTGTGAGAGAGTTGTTTCAAACATGGGATAGAGCAGGCATCAAAGGCAGGGGTGGGGGAGGGGGCAGCAGGGGTGCAATCACCTCTACACCCCTACTGGGTCAGCCCCTGTATGTAGTTATAGCGTATCTTGATAGTGTGGAAAAAGTTGTAATGGTTGTTTTAACCAATGAAAATGCAGCTTTCTTTAAACTGAAGTACAAATAGAAAAGTTTATTTAAAATCAATGCTCCAAGTTAAGGCTTCCACTTGGTGACTAAACTTATTATTTGAAGTACTGCACCCTGTTATAAACCCCTGTGACATTTAGTATTCCTAATCTGTTGAGTCACAAGAAAACCTATGTGTTTTTAACCTGAAAACTTTTACTACCTTTCTGAACCAGCCCTGCCCACCACTTGTGGCGTATGCACCAGATGGGCCCCACTCACTGAATGTGGCATGCAGGGCTGGATCCAGTGCAAGCTGGATACAGCACATGGAGTTGGTCCAGGATGTGTCATAAAGGCAGGGCTGGCATGCCACATTAGGTATGTGGGGCAGCACCATGGTCTGGATCATGGGACTCCAGCATTTTCTCAGGGGAAAAAAAAGGCAGGCTGACTTTCTTGTGAGAAGTTGAGGTAAGGCACAGTGTGTTCCTAACTTCTCAACGTTTTCCTATAACATGCTTAACCAGACATTACTTAACACAGGAAATATCATGCCTTTAGCATTCTCTTTTTTTAAGTTATTTTTATTGAGAAACTCATACTGTACGTATGTGGCATAAAAGAGCAGAACTTTTGAGTCAGATTCTTCCACAATAGTGGAGAACAGGGTGATGGGAATTAGGATAGAACAGTGGTTTTCAACCTGTGGTTTGTGGACCCCTGGGGGTCTGCAGACTATGTCTAAGGGGTCCTCAAAAGAGGATCCCTTAGACATAGGGGTGACTAAAGGATGACTATGATCAATCAAAAGTGAATACCCATACTTACAATTCAGAGGGGTCTATAACTCCATTTGAAATTTCCAAAGAGGTCTCCACCTCTGTTTGAAATTTTTTAGGAATCTACAAATGAAAAAAGGTTGAAAGCCTTATCCTAAAAATTATCTCATGGGTGATAGTTCAGTGGCAGGGTTGTTGGCCTACCAAGTCTAGGGCCCTGGGTTTGAGACCTCTCTATAATGGATGTTATGGGGGTTGGGCCAGATGATCCTTCATGTCAGTTCTGATTCCATGATTTGTTGA